AAAAAGGAAAGCTTTATTTAATTATATTTTATTCTTATAAATTATATAAGGCAGAGCTTAATTACCCTATTTATAATAAAGAATTCCTAGTAATTATTAATTACTTTAAGGAGTTTAAATACTACCTTATAAGAAGTATATATTAAATTAAAGTCTATATTAAGTATTAAAATATCTTATATTTTATTATAATATAAGAACTTAATTAATAATAGCTATATTATATTAAATACCTATATAAATTTAATTTTATAATTATTTATTATAAAGGAATAAATAATAAATAAGCTAATACTATTAGCTAATAACTAGATTATAATATTAATATAATAAAAGTAAAAAAATAACTCTTAAGAAAAAATAATAAAAAAGAATACTAATTTACTTAATAAGTAAAAACTCTAGAACTTATAAGTAACTATAAACCTATAAATTAATAAAAATAAATAGAAAAAATCTAAAATAATACTATAGGATATAATATCTAAGACCCTATTAGGAGTAGAGCTAGGATACCTACTTATAATAATAAACTATAGGTACTAAAATAATTTAGAGAAGACTTAATATAGGATATATATAGATATCCCCTATATAGCTGTTAAGGCATTATAAAAACCCTAAAATGCATTTAGATATATTATAATTAAGAAGGAATTAGAAAAGTAATAAAAAAAGTTATTAAGTAATATAACTTATATATAAAAACTAAAGTATAATAATATAAATTATATAGCCTATTATAATTACTAAAAGTAATAAAAAGATTATAAAGCTTAATTATAATAGACTATATAACTAAGCTACCTTTATTAAAAAAACCCTTAATTAGAATCTTTTATAATAATATCTTAGTTATAGTAAATTAACTTATTAAATTCTCTTACTATATACCTTATAAGGAAGATATAGAAATAAAATAACTTTTTTATATTTTCTATAATAAAATAATTAGAAAATATAAACTGCTATATAAAATCCTAATAAATAGAGAAATAATATTTATAAGTAAGTTTTAGTAAGTATTAATATTATATATAGGACTAAACTACTAACTCTTAATAGTATTTAGATTATAAATAGATAGATAGATTAAAAGAATAAACTAAGTATTAGAATAATACCTATAATATTATATTAATTATAAATAAAATAATTAGGTAGAAAAGTTACTAAGTGCCTAACTTGCCTATAATATAGTATATAATAAAAGCATTAAAATAATACTATTAATAGCTAATTTTAGATTTACCCTAGACCTATATTATATAGTATAAGAATTAAAAATAATTAACCTAGCTGCTATAATTAAGAGCAAGGACTTAAGAACCTTATATAAGGAATTAAAAGAAAAATTAAAATTTATTAGAAAATAAATAAAAAAATACTATAATATAAAAAGGATTAAGAGACTAACCTTCTTAAAGGGAGATATAGTCTACCTAGCTATAAAAAATATTATAATAAAATAACTAAGCTATAAACTAGACTATAAATACATTAGGCTATATAAGATAAAAAGAAAAATCTTAGAAAATAACTATAAACTAGACTTATTACTAAAAGTTAGGCTTTATTTAATTTTTTATATTTTATTACTTAAATTAGCAGCTAATATAATATAAGTTAAGACTAATAATAAATTAAAAGAAATTAAAGGATTAGAAGTTTATAAAGTAGAGGCAATTAGGGATATAAGAAAAATTAATAAGTAAATAGAATACCTTATTAAATAGAAAGATTACTTAGAAAATAAAAATATATAAAAACTAGCTAAATACCTTGCTAATGCCTAATAACTCTAAAGGAATTTATATTAATATTAATAGAAAAAACCTTACCCTAATTAATAATATTAGCAGCTCTTAATAATTAAGCCTTAATAGTAATAAAAGATTTTATATTATTTAAAACCTTAAGATTATTTATAGTCTTAATATTATAATAAAGTATTTTATTATTATATTCTTATAACTATTACTTTTAATAATAAAGGCATATTAGATAACTTAAATACTTATTTACTTACTATTATAATTATAATAATTTAATTTTAGCTACCTTTTTTTTATATTTTAAATAACATTTCTCTATAATAAAATAATTAGCTATAAAAGAATTAGACTTAATATATAAAAGAAAAATAGAAAATAAATAAATAGATCTTTAAGAATTAAAATACCCTTATTATTGCACTAATAATTATAATAAGTATATTATATATACTTAAAATGGCCTTCCTTAGCCTAATATTTTAAACCCTAAGGCTTATAATAGCTATATAGTATAATAAGGAAACTAGTATTTTTAATTAAAATAGCTTATACTTAATAGTTATAAGTAGCCTTAGATTCTAATATAGTATTAGTAACTTATATAAGATAATTATAAGTCTAAGTTAATATATACTAAGATAATATAAGAAGAAGGGCAAATATATAGGTCTTAAGGATAAGACTAATAAAGGGAGGGAGATTATATTATAACCTAATAAGGGGAAGTGCTTATATTATATATAACTTACTAAATAATTTTACTAATTATATAATAACTTATAAATAAACCCTATAAGAACTATAAGCCTTATAATATAGCTTATAATATTAACTTATAACTTACTATAAGCCTAGCTTATAATACTATAAGCTACTATATTATATATATATATTTATTTAGCAGTAGATAGAACTTAGCTTATTAGCTATTAATAAGACTTCTTTACCTAAATATGCCTAACCTGCTTTGTTTACTATTAAGAGATATAATATTTTATAACTACTTGGTATAACGCCTTATGACTCTGTAAATATTAAACTTAGTATAGACTAGTTTACTTATTTAAAACCCTTTCTGTTATAAATAACTTATATTATTTATATCCTTTTTTATATTATTAGCTTATTTTACTTTATATAATTATATATTACTAATAATACTTTATATAATAATGCGCCCTAGCTATATTAATCTTAATTTTAATATAATATAGATTTTGTTTTTTAATTTATTTAAAAACCCTTTTAATAACTTATTACCTTATTAATAATAGGCCTAATAAGTTACTTAGTACTAGCTTCTTTATATCCTGCTATAAGATATAAATCTCTTTTATAACTTATATAAGTAAATAAAGAAGTATTTTTATAACTAGCTTTTATAAATTATTTAGAAATATTATAATATAGCCCTTAATATACTTTAGGTATTTTATAATTTACTTTTAACTACTTAAAATACTATACTTAGTAATAAACTTATAATATAGATATATTATAATAAGCTTCTCCTTAACTACTATAAGGTCCTTAAGCTTATTAAGAAGTATATATTTATATTTAATATATTTATAAAGCTAAGCTATAAGTAATAAGATACCTTGCCTTAAATTATATATATATTTTATATAGCCTGAGATTATCTTATGTATAAAAAAGTATTTATAATATAAAGATAATAAGTAAGAGCTATTTTTAATATAGCTTAATACTTATTTATTTTATATTATCTTTTTTAACTTACTTTTTATATACTTATAATAATATAATATATAAGTCTATATTAGTAATATATTTATATTATAAAATGCTTTATAAAAGCCTTATATAGTTAATACCTTTTTCTTATATAGTATTAGTATATATTATATTTACTTATTAAATAACCTTTTTTTTATAATAAACTCTTCCTTTAAGAAGGTTAATATATTAATAAGGTCCTTAGCTTAAAGATCTTGTCTTCTCTATCCCTATATTCTGGCTTAAATCTGTTTCCTTAAAGGCTAGTCTTTGCTAAGGTAACTAGTCCTCTTTCCCTGTTATTTAAGCTGCCATAAATTTATAGTATTATCTCTTTATATCTAATTTGCTTCTTTATAAGCAGTCTAATATGGTAGCCTTAGTAATAACTATCTAACTAAATATATATCTCCTTTTATACCCTCTTTCTTTCTAGCCTAGATAGGCTATATAAGGCGCTAATAAATATCTTTAATCTAAGTATTATCTTAGTTACTAGTCTTCCCCTTTAGTGGTTTTATTAAATAATTATAGCTATATTATCTTTATTTTTATCTCTTTATTAACTCTCTTTAGGCAAAATATGCTAATAAAATAGTATATACTTAGTAATTACTACTTAAGATATATTACTTATTACCTTTAGCTATAAACTTTATTTACTTAATAAAGTATCTACTAGCCTAGCTATAGTATTATATTATATATATATTAATACTAAATACTATCTTAAACCTCTTATATTAGAGGCACTACTTATATCTAGTCTTCTCTTTAATAGCTAACTTGTTACGATTCGTGCCCGTAACAGCGCTGTAAGGCTTCTATAAGGCAGCTGTAGCACACCCATAATTGCTTGCATAGCGATTATGGCCCGATCTTTTGCCCTGTGGCTTAACGGCTTGTGCAACCATTACACCTAGCCCTTTTTTTATATTTAATAGTTAAAATACTATTACTTAACCTTTCCCTACCTTAGCCTTAATATCTTCTTCTAGCAAGCTAAATACTACTAGATAAGGTCTTGCCTTAATAAGCCTTTTAATAACTGCCTTTAATTTAATTATTACTTTATTATTAAACTTATTAAACTAGCTATAGTAAAGCTATTAACTTACTAAAAGAATTTTAAAAAAGGAATATAATAATATAAATAATAATTAGCTATAATATTCTTAAGTAGAAAATAAACTAAAATTAAATTAGCTTATTATCTAGCTATAAAATAGAAAATACTACTTTAACTCTAGAGATATAAAACCTATCTGCCTCTGACCTTAAAACTTTCATTCCTTAAGGCCCTATACGCAAGCCGAGACCGGCTTGCCTCTCCTGTTGGCGTCACAAGTAGATAATTGCACTGACTTCCATTGGCTCACAAGAGGACGACAGGGATACCGCACGTAAACAGGCTCTAGTTGGCTGCTGCCAGATAGGGGGAAAGAGCCCAGTTTACCAGCGACCTACGCTGTACGAGCTTGTTATTCGTCTTTTCGGCAGATATAGATCGCCTTGGATAGATAAAATCCATTTCGTTGATAGAAATTAACTTAGAAAACCTTTCTCTATTATCTGGTATATCTTTTACTCTCTGCATTGCTGTGGTCGAGATTTAGTACGTCAAAACGTCCTTTCTGAGTCTTTCGTAACGGACATGTGAACATGGACCACTCAATCCAGCATAGATAAACCCACATTCGGGCCTCTGTCAGGTCTCCTTATCACCGCCTCCTCTGTAGCAACACTCGGCCTGGAAACCCTCAGAGCCCTTTGATCCTGCGCCCAGACCTCCATAATTTTATGGCTAGTCACAAAGAAAATAATGGCATTCCAGACACCTTGGAGTGGTAGAAGGGACACAGTCGCAATTTGGTACGGGAATGAGGAGTACCCGTATTTGAAGCTATGAAAGCGGTTAATGGTTGCTGGCGTCCACGAGACGACGACGCTGAAAGTGAAGAGGAATGTGGCGCGTAGATATACCCTCTTTACAGGGTCCTCAAGACGGTATTTTGATAATACCCTCCTGGTTACCATTATGGTGTGATGTACTCGGCGTTTTCGTGGAGTCGAATGACGAGGTTTGTTCGAAGTGATTGTCGGTAGGCAGTGATCCGCTGTCTCGTGTATTGAGGCTTCCAGAACTCCTAACGTAGGCCGCGTGTGTAACGGCACAGGCAGCGAAACATAGGGAACTGGCGCGAGGGTGACAAAGTCTTCCGCGACAAGCACTGGATATGCAGCGTTCTCGGCGTTGCGCGTGGCAGTCTTCGTTGAGTCCTGAGCTGTGTCAACAGACGTAATCAAGTTGAGGGTGACTAGATAAACTACTATTGAATTCCACAGATGCCGGATTCGATTCCGTGAGTGGAAGATGCGGTAGCCAACAATGATATTCAGGACGACAGAACCAACGATACAAGTCCATACGAAGATATATGAAGAAAAGACGCGAACGTTTGACCAATTATCACTAACACTGCACCAAACCTATTCACTAGTTAATTTGAAGCTTTCAGTTTACAAGCAAGAAAAAGCCGCTTACGTATGCTTGGCCATAAATAGGTCCACGAGCTGGTGTTGAAATAAAAAGCAGCGTAAAAGCGATGGTAAATGGCCCTCCAAAGCAGACGAGACAGTATTGCAACGCGTGGAACGTATGGGGGTTTGTACGGCCCAGGACAACGAGGAGAGTGTTGAGGGACAGTCCAAAAGCCCACCACGGATCGGACTGCCCGAACCTATGGAATGCGTCAGCATCGCTGATCTCGAGTGCAACTTCAGGAGACTGTGCAACGATAAAGGCCTCACATTTGAAGTAGAAACGCCTGTGTTTTACAGAGCGCAGAGTCTTCCCCAGCCGCGAGTCCATCCCTCGCAATGATGCAAGCGATGCTCGAGCCGAGGTTGGCGATACTCGCCATGACAATGAAGGTATTCCGGGGGTTCCGCAGTCGCGCCACGAGGCCGTACGTAATAAAGATGAGAAACACAGCGACGAGACTCATGCAGCCCTCAATTCGCTCCACAAGTGCAAGCGCATGGGCCTGACTCGGCGTCGGTGTCATTGTCGTCAACTCATGCTGATCCTGAACAGCAGACATTAGCTACAGCGGCGCACGATATACGTGTGGCGAGGGAAATGGGTAAATCAATGGATGATTGTTAAGGTCAGTTTAGCCGTAGTCGCCAGTGCGGTAGAACATAGATGTGATGTCAGAAGAACGGGTCACGATGACAGTATCCTCATTTTTCCGTGGCGTACGTAGAAACTGAAGGGGAGGGCCGAGATGCACACTCTCATGGTTGATTGGTTGATCAGACAAGATGTAGCAGCCATCGACGGTGCCTCAGTGGCGGTTTGGCTTGCACACTGTCCTCTACGTCATATTCAACCATGACAAGACCGAAAATTGAGGACTCTTTACTGTAAACAACTCCTTGAAGGAGCATGGTGGCATCTAGACTTAGTTCATATTTCCTTCCGTTTCTTGAGCTGTCCGAAGCCTCCAAGAGGTCACGACAAGTAGCTGTAGCGAATTAAAAGGCGTCAAACTAAAGGCACTTTTAGTCCCACCTAAATAAGGTGATGATAGAAGTCCCCACAATGCCTGTTGTTACAAATCGCTACACCACAGATACGGCAGCCCATCAGCTTCCGTGGCCCCAGCTTCTTCTTCCTCTCGTTGCTAATGGCCCTGCTCGAACATGTAAACGGGAAACGCACTGCGTTTCGCCTTTCTGTCCAATCACCACCTTTGTGTGTCGGCTGGCAGCCGACGATTAAACCTATCTCTTTGAGTGCACAGCCCTTAGGAAGGTCACTCGCCCCACTTACTAAAAGTCCATAAGATATTTGCCAGTCTGTAAAGGTAGCTCTTTGTAACAATCAAAACTGCAGGGACTTTTACCATCATACAAATTAGTATGTGTGGAAAAGTACCGTTAGTTTCATTTATCTTGATTGGCTCTATACCCCTGTCTTGACCCCGCCTAAGGGCTGTGGCACTCAAAGGGATAAGAAATTTGGTGGCGCTTGCATGACATGGACTAGCCGACCCATTAGTATTCTAGACACTGTAACAGCCACAATAAGCATAACATGGATAAAGATATAAAGGAGACATCTGCAAATTGATTAATACTAGTAGTAATAAATAAGCTTATAAGACTAGTTACTTTATATTATATTTATTTTAAAATTATTATCTTTATTAATTATTATTAAAAAAAGTAAATATATATAAATTTATTAATTATAATAAATAAAAGTATATTCTTAATATAATAGTTAAGTCTAACTATATTAAACTAAGCCATGCTAGGTTTATTATTAGCAGATAGCATAAGGCATATACTAAGCTTATTAAAGTATTATATCTCTTAATAGTAGATTTAATATATATTAAGCTTAATTAATATAAAGAAGTTATATTATAATAGCTAGTAAGCTAGAATTTATAAAAGTGCTAGTTAATATATTTTATATACTTAAAGTTATAATATAAATTAATAAAATAATATAATTAGTCTCTTATAAATTAATAATATTTATATATTAGTTTAGGTAGATTATTAAATAAAAGTTATTAGTACTTATTTTATTTATAAATTAAACTATTTAAAAAGTTAATTTATCTTAAAGGAGGCAGGTCTTTTCTTATAATTAGAGAAAAATAATAAGGTTTATATAATATAACTACTAGGGTTATAATATAATTTCTCCCCTCCCTTAGGTCTTATCCTTAAGACTTATATATCTATCTTTTTATTTATTTATTAGTTATAAGTTTAAACTTAATTTATTTTCTATTTAAATATTAATAAGATATTAAGTTATATTTCTAAAAGTAAATTATATTTTAAAATGCTAGAAGTAGTTAAACTTTCTAAATATATTACTAGATTTAATAATAAAATTATATTATATTTTTATTATTTTTAAAACAGTCTTTTTTACTAAGTTAAAGGTAACTAGTCTTATTAATATTAAAACTATATTAAGGCTAAAGTAATATATAATAGTTTAAGTATTACTTCTTATTATATATCTTTTATTTTATTTATTCCTTCCTATTTTAATTCTTTAATAATTAAGAAAAATATAAAAGTTTATATTAAGTTAAGAAGGGAAAAGAAAGAAATTAAGGCAGTTTTAGAGGCTATTATAATAAAGTTAAAGTATATTTATAAATAAAAGTAATTATTAAGATAAAAAGGCAATAAATTATTTATATAAGGAATATACTCTTAAGAGGAGTTAGGTAAGGTTTAGGAGGAATTTATAACTATCTCTAAAGCTTAGTCCTTAGGTATTATAGACTTAATTAATTAAAACTTAATTTTAGGTAATATTCTTTTTAAGCTTATTAATAAAAGTTCTTTAAGAGTTATTAAGTATTAGTAAGGTATTTAAATAATTCTTAAGTATTTTTACTTTTTAAGTAGTTTTTCTATTTAATATAGTATTTTAATTTTATTTTTTATTTTTTTTATTTTCTTAATTACTTTTACTTTATAGACTTTTAGTTTTTTAATTTCTTATAGTTTATTATTAGTTTTAACTTATATTATATTAGCTATTAATTTAAGTAATAAAATATAAAAAACTAAATAAAGCCTAACTTTTAATATTAGGTCTAGTTTATAGTTATTTTTTAATATTTTCTTAATAATTTTATATAATTTAATATATTTATAATCTATTTTATAGCTTAGTTTATTTATTTTAATGTTTTTTATAGCTAGGTAAACTATATCTCTTTTTAAAAAGCTTAGTCCCTTTAACTATTTTAAACTATAGTAATTTTTTATATATTTTTTAATAAATTTAAATTCTATTTTTATTTCATTATATAGGTTTTTAAGGTTATTATTCTTAAGTATAGCAGCTAGGTTAACTAATTTTTCTTATTATATAATATAGTATATATTTAATATAAATCTAAAATTAGTATAAGCTAGTATAAGCTTTATACTTTTATTATATATAGTATTATAGGCAAGTTAGGCTATTAGTAGTTTTTTAACTTAATTATTTTATTTATAATTAATATAATACTATAAGTATTACTTAAGTATTTAATTTATTTATTTAGTTTATTTATTAACTTATAATTAAAATACTATTATAAGTTAGTAATTTAGTCTAAGTTATATTATAAGTAATTGCCAGAATATTACTATAAATATAAGTCCTCTATTTAAGAGAATCTCTTTAAAAAGGCTATATATATTAATAATATATTAATAAGAAATATAAGAAAGTTCTTTTATATTTATTACTTCTTTATATAATAGGTAATAGGAATATTTATAAATTAATTAACTATAACTATAATATTATTATAAAAGATTTTAATTAAAAGTTCTTTTAATAAGGGTAACTTAATAATAAAGTTTATTATAATTAAGTCCTAAGGTTATTATATTACTAATAGTAGTTATAGTTATCTATAAGGTTTATATCTTTATGCCTTTATTTATAAGCAGAGATTATATTATTAAATAACCTTTCTTAGTATTCCCTTTATTCCCTTTATATTATATTTTCTATATATTCTTTTTAGTATTTTTATAATGCTTAAATGGCTATATAGGGGATATTTATATATATCCTATACTAGTTCTTCCCTAAGCTTATTAAGGATAAATAGTATATATAGTATTTTTTTTAATTATTAAAAGTTATTTCTTATAGGTTATAAGGTTTTCTAGCTTTAGCTTCTTTTATACATTCCTTAAGTTTCTTACTTTTTTATACTTAAGTAATAGTTTTAATTAGCTTATATTTCTTATAACTAGTTATTAGATTTCTAATATAGCTTTTTAAGTTTATATTATTTTAGATTTTATTTATAGTATTTTATATTTTAATATAATCTTAATTATATAGTATTTAATTATAATAATAATTAAAGATTTCTATTATATATTTACTAAGAATTTTTTTTTTTTTATTAAAGTAAGTTATATTACTTTATTAATTATAATATAATCCTCTAAGCTAATTAATAAAGTCTTATTCTCTATTTTAATATAATAGTTCTTAGTATTTTAATATAAGTTTTAATTTCTTAACTACTTTTATAATTACTTTAACTAATTAAGTAAACTAGTATTTTCCTTTTAAATTAAGTTCTAAAAGTCATTTCTTAGTTTTAATAATTCCTATATTAAAATCAAGTTATTTACTAATAGTATTTATATATTTATTATTTATTCCCTTATAATAAGTAATTATAAAATTAAATTTACATAAGTATTTAATATATTATAATTATTATTAATTTAGCTTTTATATTATTATAAAGTATGCTATATTTTTATAATTAGTAAATACTTTTTTTATATATCTATTTCCCTTAAAATAGTATTTAAATTCTTTAAAATAATTTATAATAGCTAGGAATTTATTATTATAAATATAGTAATTAAGTTTTACTTTATATATTTTATAAAAGTAAAAAGTAATAGAATATAATATATTATTATTATTTTATTATCTTATTTATCCTCTTAAAGTAAAGTTAAAAGTATTAGTTTTAAGTTTAACTTACTAATTAAGGTTAAATATTACTAAAATAGGTTTATTAGTAAGAGCTTTTTTAAGTTATTTAAAAGCTTATTATACTTAATTACTTTATTAAAATTATTTATCCTTTTTAGTAATATTAATAAGAGGGATAATAACTTTACTAAAGGCCTTTAATAAATTATTAATAATAGTATATAAATCTTAAAAAGGATTATATTTCTTTTATTAATATAAAGATATTTTATTTAGTAATTATAATAATTTTTTACTTATTTATTTTAATTTTATTATATAAGATTTTATATTTTAAGTAAATTACCTAAGATTAATAAAAGTAACCTTTTATTAATTTAATAAGTATATTAGTATCTTATAGTACTTTTAAAACCTTATAAATATATTCTTTATATTTTTCTTTTATATTAAAGAAGATAAAGATATTATTTAAGTAATATATTATAAAGATATTAAGGTATACTTAAAGTATATTTATAATTTTATATTAAAATACTATAGGCATATTAATTAGTCTAAAAGATATAACTAGATATTTAAATAATTTATAATTTATTCTAAAGGCTATTCTATTTATTACCTTCTTTAATTTAAATAAGGTTATAGGCAGATTTAAAGTTAAGAGCTATAAATACCTTTTTACTAAATAGGCAGTCCTTAAATTTAGTAATAAGGGATAAGGGTATTTAGTCTTTTTCTATAATCTTATTTAATTATTTATAATCTACTATAAGTTATAATTTA